TAGGTTGTAACCACAAAGTGCAAAGAAGGTTCAAATACATATGTGTGTGTAGGTGTGTGTGTGTGTGTCAGGAGAGGATGTGGTTTGAACTGAAGTGTATTTGCAGCTGTAGTTCTGGGCTCTGCTCTTCTCTGCTGGTCTGTCTTCAGTGACAGAGGCTTTCAGCTTCGTATTTTCAGTCTTTATTACACATCTTATTGTTGCAACATTTATTTTGTTAACCATAACCATTTGTCCCTTTCCTAACTTCTTCTTTCTTTCTATCTATCTGTATTTCTTCCTTTCTTTGCTTATTTCTGTCTTTGCTTTTGCTTTCCACTTCCACTTTCTTTTTCAGGTTCCATATTTGAAGCCTGACCACTATAGATATATATCTACCATAAAGTCATAGTCAGCTTCAGTATTTTATGTTTTAAAATGAAGATAAAGGACTGAGAACTCAAAAAAAATGTACAATTCTTACATGAATACAGAAGTCAGCCTAGATATGAACAGCAATTATCATTTGCTTATGTTCTCTACTGTCAGGTTTGGACTCTCACTGTGGGTCCTGAAACACACGAGGCGTCCCTCCTGTACAATAATAACATCATGGTTGAAAGGACATTGAGCAGTCACACTGCCAGTGTTTACTTAACGAATGTTTGTACTCTGCGACCGAATCAGACGTCTCTGTAGCGGTTAGTCTGCAGGCTGGAAGTTGAAATCCTGATGAACTACTGCTGTTTAGAATATTTAGGCTAATGAACATTGTGCTCCATAGTGGAAAAGCCTGCATACGTACTGGTAATGTTTCATAAGGAAAGAGTGATTATAGCTGGTGGCAGGTTGTGGCCCTCATGACGCCCTGTGTCGGTTTACCACAGAAGCATCTTTTTTTCTTCTTTTGTGGCCTGACCTTGTTGGTGCAGCTGCAGAAAGAGGAATAGAGGTGAACCTCAGAGGTTCAGAGGGTGATGTTGCCACTCTGGGCACAACGAGGACAGTGTTGGGCAACTGAATGCTGCTCCACCCAAATAAAAACTGAACTGACTCTACCGAAATACAGCATGATATCAGGGGTGTTTGTAACGTGTTTGATACGTTTGATTCATCTGTATCTGAGGTATCAAGCCTTTCAAATAAAGTACATCTATGACCTCCTCAGTGACCTCCCATAGCTCTGTTTGACCTGTTACTGAGCCATGTTAATGACCTAAATGCTGCTTTTCAGCAAAAGAGAACTTTCACTTCTGTTAAGTTTTTCCACTGCAAACAAAACTTTAGAAAGTGTTCAATTCCGATTTTTTTTTTTTACAACTACACTCATCAACCTTGTTCTTTTTTCTTTTCTCCCTAAATAATTTGATTTATTTTACAAAAAAACTAACTTAAAGTCTTGATGATTTACTGCAACGACAATTACATGTTTGCATCTACACTAACTTTGTGCTCACACACACTTCTTCCTCTGGCCAGTTATGTTTTCACAAGAAAAAGAAGATCAGTAAGTTTCAGATGAAAATAAATTTCCAGTATGATGTCATCATTTTTTATAGATGAAGTAACTTTTGAAGGATCGATTTTGCACAAATAGGAATAAAAGTGAAACCTCAGCAACGCATTGAGGGTGAAGTCCAACATTTACTAAGGGCTCATCTAGAGCAAGGTTGAACTGAAACCTGCACAGAAAACTAATCAGTTTGTATTCATGTTGAAAATCATTTGTTAATAACATGGAAAAAGAATTATGAAAACCTAAATCTGATGTCAGGGTTTGCGTTCGTTTTCAGGAATTTCATCGAGAAAACCGCATCATGCGGCGGCGCGGACCCCTGAACATGAACCATTACGCCAACAAGAAGAGCGCAGCAGAGAGCATGCTGGATGTGGCTCTGCTGATGGCTAACGCCTCGCAGCTCAAGGCCGTTCTCGAGCACGGACCGAGCTTCACCTTCTACGTTCCCCTCATCACTCTCCTCAGCATCTCTCTCATCTTACAGGTACTGGTGGGAGTTATGCTCATATTTATAGGTAAGCTGGGGAGTTTTGTTGCCTCGTTTCCGTTTAATCAAGTTGTCATTAGATGTATTTCTCATTATCGATTGAAGATATTTGTATGAAGGCAATTAATGTTAACATACATGGCTCTGAAAATTTATGTGCCGCTATAAATTTCTTGCTTTTCCTTTCAACAAACATTTTAATGTCAGACAACGTTAGCTTGGTTAAAGCTAAAAAGAGTTTTCCGAGGTGTGAACTTTAACTAGGTCACTCCAACACTTCATGGTGTTTCTATTTTTAAGCAGTTGGGTGACATGCCTATGTGCTTTAGAGCACAGTCATGCTCTACAACCCAAGTCTGCTAGAGCTCCAGGTCACAAACTGAAGCCCAGACACTGACCTTTAGGATTTTCTAATAGAACAGGATTCATGTTTTTATCATCCATCCATTTTCCGTCACCCTTGTCCCTCAGTGGGGTCGGGAGGGGTGCTGGTGCCCATCTCCAGCTCACGTTCCGGGCGAGAGGCGGGGTACACCCTGGACAGGTCGCCAGTCTGTCGCAGGGCAACACAGAGACACACAGGACAAACAACCATGCACACACACACACACCTAGGGGCAATTTGGAAAGGCCAATTAACCTGACAGTCATGTTTTTGGACTGTGGGAGGAAACCGGAGAACCCGGAGAAAACCCACGCATGCACAGGGAGAACATGCAAACTCCATGCAGAAAGACCGGGGCCGGGAATCGAACCCAGAACCTTCTTGCTGCAAGGCGACAGCTCTACCAACTGCGCCACTGTGCAGCCATGTTTTTATCAATTACAGCAAATTTTCCAGGTTCGAATGAAGCAAATCAGCCCCAAACTGTCACACCGCTACTATCATGTTTGAAAAATTATTCTTAATTCTAAATGTTGGTCAATACTGAAATGTAATTCATTAATTGCTACAGCAGTTAAATTTGAAAAGCTATCTATCTATTGGTATGTGATATTTTAAAGTTTGTGTGATACTGAATTTTAGATTTTAATTTTGATGACTATAAGTCATAGTCATCAAAATAACAAGAAATGAAGCAATCACTTATTTCACTCTATATTTTATGATTATAAGATAATGTAAGTTTAACTTTCTGAAGTGAGTGAGTGAGTAAAATTTTCACAATGCGTTTTTGAAACAGAGCTGGATTTATTTAATATTATGACTGATCTTACTTTGCTAACCTATTACTCACAAATACCTGTGTGTAAATTAATTGACAAAGATTTCCTTGCTTTAAAATGTGAATATTTTGGATTGACCAAGCAGTAGAATCAGAAGTGGAAAGTTTTAGCGACTCTGGACAGGTGTGAATCCGCCCCAGCTCCCCATCCTGCTCTTTCCTTATCTTATCCTAACAGAAAAAAAAATTGGGGGAGAGGAAGTGAAAGTGGGGGGAGAGGAAGTGTTTATAGAAACCTTACAGGAAGTGGTTGCCTTTACTGTGAGCTGGTTTTGAAAGAGTTCTGTTTACTATCGGCTGCATGTAGTCACAGGAGAGCTGGAGCAGCAAAAGGGAAGTGGAAACACGGGTTCACCCTCTGCTTAAAATGGATCCACATGTTGGATTCCCAGACTAATGAGGCATGTCATCGCCCTTTGGAGGAGTCAGATGGTTATTCCCCATTTACAGGGCTGTCAGATGGTGTTAGTGTTTATCAAATCCTTCATAAATGATTACTTCAAAGGTATGAAAGGAAACTGCCTGTCACTGGGTGCTGCCCCCTAGTGGGAAAATGTAGTTTCTCCAGCTCAGTATAAGCAAAATATTATGCTTTTCTTCTTTTTTTTTCAGTTAAGTGGAATCTGAACGATGAAAGAATGCATCACAAGCTGGACATCTTGGAAAGCTGTGTCATGGCCTTCATCTTTGTCATAGTGGTGGTCAACGTCTTCATCACAGCCTTCGGCGTCCAGCAGCCCCACTCGCAAAATTCACCGCCTTCTTGACGTGCTCCTTGCTCATCAAGACATTATGAGTTTTTATTATTTACAAGTTAAATGGCCATTTTATATAATTGTCTGCTATTGTCTGACTCTGTGTGTTTTGAACAAAATTAAGTGGTTAGTTCTTATTTTCTCATCTGTTACTGGTGCAAAATCATTGTGACCATTTCCTGTCATGTTAAAATATTTTTCATATCGGTTGTTGTATGTATGCATGCCTGCTGCTTATTAATGACGGACTGTATAACCTCAGCAAAGTTAAATTATTCATGAGCCCAGAAGGCTTAATGCAGTACCGTAGCTTTACTGAAGGAGAGGTGTGTTGTTTACAGTTTGAATTTTTTAATAATGATGTGGTATGTGCGTGCTTTTTGAAGTGCTATGCAAAATGCAATATCTTTGACTGTCTTCCATACATTAGGTCAGTGCTTCCCAAACTTTTCAGTGTGAGGCCTGTGAGCCCGAACACTGGTCGAGCGTACATTGTACTGCCTTTTATTTGTTTTTAAGTACTGTTTTTATCTCTTTTAACGGGTATTGGAGACATACAGTTATGTATTTGTTATTTAGTGTTTGAAGAGAATCTCAAGATCCTACACTTACTGATTGGGTCCCTGTGCAAAAAAATAATAATAATTTGAGTTTATTTACTGCATTGTGCAGTTGCTTTGATTAAATGTTTTATTTACTTTTTGTAAACAAACAAAAAAGAACAACCAGGAATATTTTACAGTTTTAAATACTTCTATGCACTGTGACTGCTCATGTACTATATTTTTAAAATAAAAGTAGAAAAGTTTTATTTTCTCTCCTTTGTTTTTATTTACAAAACAAATCAGAGCTTGTACAAATGATAGTACTTGCAAAAGTAAGGCATTTCTACAGTAGACACATCTTGACAAAAGAAGACACAGTGAAGATAAAATTTAGCATTTAAAATATGTCAAAATTGAGGCCACTCTTGAGCATTAGTTTGCGAAGCCCCTCTCAGTGGCTTTAGTTTCTTAAAAAAGAAAAACAACAAAAAGAAACAAACCATGTAAAAACATAATATATTATTGTAATTCATTTTTGCATCCTTAATATTTTTGCAGTGTGACCTATTTCACAAAAAAATCCACAAGACCATATATAGCCGTAGGTTAGGAAAACTACATCAATAGCAGTAATCCACTTCTCAAACCAGGCTTAGAGCTTCATTATAAACACTACTACAGTTTCCCTCGAGAACTATATCACAGCGGGCCAACAGGAAAAGTAAAAAATTTCCGCTCTGTCTAGAGGAAACAAAGTCAACAAAGTGCCAGAAGAGGGCACGTCCTTTCTACAGTTACACATTTTATACAGGAAACATGGTTCTACCCTTTTGAATGTAGATGTTTAAAATTAGCAGAGAAAATGCTATCTGGTAACAAATAAAAAAAAAAAAAAACTTGGTTAGAGATGCCACGAAGTAGGTGGCAATGCCTTAACCGTATATGTGTTGCAGGCCACAAGGGCCAATTCCATCCTTGTCAAGGGGAGTGCTAACCTTCTCTCCTTTCATACAACACACAAATTCCCAGGTTTTTCGTCACTATATATACACCGACCTTCACCGTCAGTTTCACTTACGGTTCTACTTACCGAGATACGAAAACTACAAAATTGTATTACTTTACAGAACAATTAACTCAGAATCAAGATAACTAAAAACAAATTTCATAATTTTGTTTCTTTTTACTATTTTTCCCCAGTAATAACTATACCCATAATGCACTGCGTTCGAAAGCGCGATACTATTGGCGGAGAGTATCACGTGATAACTATTCACGCTTTTACCACATTATTAGTCTAGTAAATACTTCTAGCAATATCTGAAGGTGTTTAGATTTTCACGCTTTAATTCTTGTTTGCTTGAATATGAGAAACAATTTTTAAAGACCCCATGAAATTCAATACAAGTTTAATAATGTAGTTTCCTTCATGTCCACAAGATGGTAATCACGGTACGGAAACAGGTTTGTGACCATCTGGTTTTACTTTTGCTTTATGTTGTTACGCCAATTTTAGCATTTCTTACATATGGTGCCTGGCAAAAGCATCCATGCTACTTGAACTATTCCAAATCTTTTTCATGCTACGATCACAGACTTTTTTTCTTTTCCACCTGTGTGTAATTTAATTTCTATGAATACAGCTGTCCTGTGAAGGCTTTATGGGATTGTTAGAGAACATTAGTGAACAACCACAGTAAAGTATTTAAAGAAGATTTTCATGTAAATCAACATCGCATAAATAGCAAAGCACAATATTATCTGAGAATCGAAAATGTTTGTTGCAATGCAAACCTACAAAGACAAACATTTTATGGCCAACATGCAAAATGTCACAACCAACATGGTGATAGGAGAATCATTATGCAGTGGGGATACTTGTCTTCAGCAGAAACATGAAAGCTGGGTAGAGTTGATGATAGATGGAACAAAAGTCTGGGAGATTGAGAACGAAAACTTGCTAAGGGCTGCAAAAGAAACTGATCAGAGGTTCATCTTGTAGCAGACACATAAACATGCACTTGACAATTTATAGCAAGTCTTAAACTTCTATCCCATCTCACACAACTTGAGCAACTTGGCAAAAAAGAATTAGAAAAATATTTCAATGTCTATTTTTGCAAAGCTGACAAAGACTAGGTTTTTATTGGTAGAAAAAAGTTGAAAGTCATTATAAATATAATTATAAATTATATTGTTTTGGTCTGTCATACAGAATTCCAATAAAATATATAAAATTTGTGGTTGTTCCGAAACATAATATTAAAATGTGGTCTCAATGGACTGTAAATTACATACAGAAATACACTGAGTACAGACTAAACTCAATAACCTAACATTTCATCAACTCAAACACCAACAAAAAAAAATGCAGAGGTTGGTGCTTTTATATAAGAATTCATTATCCCTTGATTGTTTTTAATTAGCATAAAATTAGGTAAATTTATGTATAAAAATAATTTACATTATAGCAATATATAAAGTGTGACCTAAGTGTCAAATGTGTCTCCCCTTGTCATTCAGATCAGTAGCAAAAATAATATGTACTTTTTGCATAGTTCATAATGTGTACAAAATCAGAAAAAAAAAAAAAAAACAGTTTTTTTTTGTAGTGTCAGAAATTCTGATGCACCAAGTATGGAGATTACCCTTATTACTTCATTATGCCCTCTTTGGTGTACCAAATAAGAACCTCCTGCGCTTTTCTCTTCAGACCGAGGGCGGCCATTCCAAGGGCCTGGCTGCCTCCCGACACTTTAGCTTCTACAAGCAGAAAAAGGCACCTTCTTAACATCAAATCAGTTCATTTAGATATATTGTATAACTGGTCATATTAAACAATTTAACTGAAAATAAAATTACCGCCATAGTAATAGAGAAAAGCTATTCCCACAGCAAAGCCGAAACAGCCCAGGAAAAAGAGAGGACCTGCAAAGTGTACATAGGAATACAGAGGTCAGCATTTAGTCAGGTTCTTTTTCCATGATAGATAACATACTATATAAATAATACATTTATTACATTATTAAGAGTTGTTTTACTCTGAAGTTCCTTGACATCTTAAAACAAAGGCAAATTGTAATGTAAAAAATAATTAAAGATATGTAATATCTATAATTATAATTATAGACTGATATTGATTTATCAGTCTATAAAATAACCATTTCAGAAACATAAACAACTTTAGACATTAAGTTCTTCTTCAGAAAATTAAAAAAAAAGGCTGAAAGCCATCAGTATGTGGAATACTAGGTCCTCATAACGTCACGAGGCATAAAAGCAAAAGGCATAGAAATAATTTGTGTGATGAAATACGAGGTTATGTAGCTGCAGCAAATGCTTGTAAAGTGGAATCCTTGTGTCTCCTAACAACAATGCTTACGCAAACTGAAAATGCTAACAACCCAAACACAGAGAGAAAACCTGCATAGGCGTCACATTACCTCTGTCGTTTAGAACGTTTCTCTGTGAGTGGATCTGTGGACTTGTGAGTGGATTGAGAGAATCTGGGATTTGGATGGAACAAAATATTAAAATGTCTCAAGAAATATTTTGGAAACATCTAAACAACTAACTGACATATGACCAAGATGAAATTGTTTTGACAAACCTCTGAGGCGCAGCCGTGTTGGCAAGCTGTAGTATACCTCCTCCACATGGAGGTGGAGCGCTCTGTAAAACTCCCTGCAGGCTTCATCACCTTTCCCCTGGAGATGTGTCAGGAGCTCACCCAGGCGGACGCTTGTTGGTACGTCCAAATTTCTGAACTGACAAACAAATGCACATACTTTTTCTCAGTCGTAATCAAACTGTGGTTTGTGGGCTCTCGTGTCACGCATTCAAATGTTTTAAATATCTGCAGAAAGTCTTAAAATAGCCACTAATTACCAGTTTTACCGAGGTTTATATTAGACATGGCACAGACATACATTTCTTTACTCCCTCCTCTTCAAAATGGAAAACACAACATGCCATCAAATGAGACAGAAAGTGAAATATCTGCATTAATGTAGCTAAAGGTCTTATTATGCCCATACCTACAGTCAGAGCAACATTTAAAAGCAAAAATTGAAACAACTTTATTGTCACCAGGCACAGTGACCAGGATGGAGAAGTCAAAATAAACCATCAATGCTCACTGGGACAGAAGTGAAGCATTTTGGGGTCACACAATGTAATAACAACCAATTGTTTTAAGAATTTTGTATACATTTTCAGTCGTGGTGCAAACAGCCTGGTGTGATTAAGACAGTGAAACGCATCAGTGGGACTTACTCTCGTGGCCTCCTTGTCGGTGAGGATCTGCGGGTAGATTCTGTTGAGCTGCAGGATGAGTTTGTCCACCAGCTCTGTGTCCAGTCTCTGCTCAGCTCTGAGGAAGACAGTGTCCTCTAACAGCTGCTCGCGAAAACTATCTGTCAGTAGCAGAGAATAATAAAATTATCTTTCAGCTGTCAGATAAACTAGCTTTCAATTAAATAAATTTAAAAAAAGCTAAAAGAGAATACATTTGACCATTTTCGAAAGCGTTTTTGTAGCGCGTAAAAGTTTCGTGGGGTATCTGAAGACCTGCCGAATTAAACCTTTATTAAGAAAAAGTTCAGACTCGGGCTCCACTAATGTCAAATGGGGTATTTTGAGAACTTTTCAGAAACCAAAACATTGACATTTCACCGTCTTTGACCAAGCGAGACAAAACGCCACGACGGCACTGGTGCGGTAATGGCCGTCATATGGACGTGACGGACAGGGTATAACATTGCAGACGGGAAGATTCGTGGTAAAACGAACTTTTATTTCGTTTTATTAGTCAAAGAAAGGCACAAACCTCCCATTGTAGAATGAGTCCCCTCTCTGTCCTCTGTTTGGACACACCTTCTGACGTCATCACGTCGCTAAAGCTGTCTTGAACGTCAACGTTCTCCAAAAAAGGGAGACCATTTTCAGCACAACAGCCAGAGGGGGTAAACAGTTCTGTCCATTGCTATAGGCATTTAGTTTTCAAACTAAGCGGATATTCATTTGTTTTTAGTAAAACCTGATCATAAATTGTCAATAAATTTTAAATACATTTTATTTTAGCAGTACTTGACTTTCCTTCATCTTGGGATGGCTATTCGGTAAATATTTGTATATCAGTAAAGTGCAAACAGTCCTTTGAAATACAACTTTTTCTGCTGATTGGTTCTTAGCACTTGTTGATATGTAGTATAAGGTGGGTTAGTTTAAATTTATAAGGCCTCTAGATTTTAATGATTTCATGATTGGGCAAAACAGACAATTATTATCAAGTGGAAGAAGATAATGAATGTTTGCTTGTTTTTTTATTGCAGTGTACATTTTTACATCCTTTTTGTGGAACCACATCTTTTGTGACCCAGCTTTTCTAGGGTCTGAAAGATGTTCACATTCTTTCATTCAAAAAACATTGTAAGATTGAATGGAAAGTACGTGTGAGCAGTAATTTTCAACGTTTTTCCATGGACTCTAAACTGGATTTAGACCTTTAGAACTTACCTTGATCCAAACCATCCTTTGTCAACGTTTTTTTTTTTTCTTGAATTGCCCTTAATTTGGCTCTCTACAGTTTCTCTGCCAAAAAAAGGGAATCCCACAGCCTAATACTGCCACTACCATGTCTCACCTTTGGCATAGAATGCGTTGAGGATTTCATAGCCTTTGAACTTCACATTTTGTCACACTACAAGCAACTGTGAATGCAACACAAAGCAGTACAAAATCATAAAGAGAAAATGATACAGAATTTTAAATTTCTTTTGACAACTAAATACTTTCACGAAAAACAAAAATTTGCTGAAATTACACCCAGGGACAGCATAAGAAGGGACTAAGCAAATTTACATAACACTTCAAATTTATTTTTGGGAAAAACAAAAATATTTTTTCTTCCCCTTGACAATTATGTGCGTTTTTTGTTGGTTTATAATATAAAGCACTAATAAAACAAACATTGTTATTTGTAACAAAAGGAACAGATGATTAAACTTGAATACTTTGGCTCGGCTGTGTATCCGCATTTTAGGAAATAAACTTTAAAAGTAGCAGAAAATGTTCAGCACTAAAGACTGGAAAGACCAGCAACTCAAATAAACACAAAACTCCTCAGAGCTGTGAAAGTCAGGTTTATTTCTTCACCAGCTATAACTGGAGGTAGTAACAGAAGCCAACAAACAAACTTTGCTAGTACATTTTTGTTTTAAACAAGAGCTCATCCATCATTACTTCGTAACCAGGCAGCTAAATCTGACCTCCCTCATTTACCAAGAGAACAACGAATCCTGTTATCTGAACAGACACAAATAAATACAATTGCAGTCATAACAAAACATGTAAAAATTAATACTTTTAAAAAGCACAAGCACTTTCTTTTTTTTTTTTTTTAATTCAGCCAGGATTGAAAATTGCACTTGTACAAACAAAACACACAATGGCACTGCACTTGACAATGTATGACCAAAATGCTAATACAAAAAGATGTATTAAAAAAGTACTTAAAAACCTCTTCATGAATAAAATCTGAATGAATACTAGTATGTTTTATTAACTTATAAATCTTTAAATAAATTTGCATTAAAATACTGTTCCTCAGTCATTACGAGTTTACTCATGGACTGGCAAAAAATTGGCACAGCTAAATTTTTGCCACATTTTTTGCCAAGCTGATTACAAAACCAAATCTGCTCTCCACTCAATCACCCTACATTAGGGTTATAACAATATGTAACATTATTTCCTGAAAACGCATACCTGGTCAGCACATTGGTTGCTCCGTTACTGGCTTTGATTAAAAAAAAAAAAAAACAGATCAAGGCGAAAGAAAACAGGGCTTGTGAAACTCCTTCGTCTCTCTCGTTCAAATTTTACCCAATAGGACAAATAGTTTTGTTTTTAAAAACCAGCAATCTCCTACTTTACTGCTAAAAATAAATTAGGTTACGATATATTCAGAGAGCTCAATGTTTGACCAGGGAGCAGGTGGGACAGCATACATCTCAGTTAAACAATACTGAATAACACAAACATAATTTAAAGAAGGAATCTGTTAGGAGGAATAAGTAATAAAAAGTGCTCAGTTGTGGTAACAGACAAACGTAATCAGTGAGGAATCCATCTCTGCCCTTCCCCTGGTTCAGCAATCAGTGGTGCATTTACTTGGAAGACTGATGAAATCCAAAGGGACGCTGGTGCGTCGAGTCGCTTTCCTCGCTCACATTGTGACAAAAACTACATTAAGTGTTGCGGCACTCTGCTATAATGTTCTTGGCAAATACTGGTGGTTGAGTTCTCGACTTTGCACAGATGCAACCTGGAGTGTGTCAACCGTCACACTGACAGACTTTTTTCTTTTAAGGTCACTTGTCTTGACGGGTTTACTGCAATGGAAAAGAGAAAATGATCAGCGTTTCAGCTTCTACAGACATCTGAAGTTTAAGAATAAAATGGAGATATCTACTGGAGATATCTGAGGCAAACAAATAGGAACGCGAGGAAATAACTGATTTTATTACAAAACAAGAATTACAAAAAGATTTAGGAAATGAATCACTGCATTTTGTAGAGTAACTAATGACTTCTGTGCAACTACAAGGCTTTCATTCAATTGAATGTATTACTGAAAAGTTGCTCTACTTTATCCTTTTTCTTTTTAGAGCACACATTTGTTACAGAACATGCTGGGTGAGAAAATAATGGCAATATTTTAGAAATCTATGGTCATGATCTACTTACTGTGGAAAAAACACAGTAATGCTATCCATATTAATCATTTCAGCTGTTGAAAAACACAGTCTGTAATGAAAACTATCTGTAATTGAAAAGCACCTAAAATTGCTCGTTATATTACAGTACATATTTCAGTGATTTTAGTTTTGTGTTTTACTCTCACTTGATCCTACTGTACTTTTAGCTCTTATTTTCAGGTTTAATTTAATTTTTAACCCTCTTTAAATACATGAGGTCCAGTTCCAGCCTACTTTTCTTACGGATTATATTTTAGAGATCATCTGAAATAGATTCAGAACTAAATGTTAGTCAGAAAATTAGCAGTGTGCTTATTTAAAAGTTGTTTTAAGTATTATAAACTTTATAAATGCAGATTTAAAAGCAACTGTTGTTCCTTCACCCTGTAAGTAGATGCTGTATGTTCTAGTAAATAGATAAATATTCAAACCCAACAGATGATTAATAATTGCAGAAAAAGATCAGGAACCTGGTGTTAGAAGTTTTAGCTACAACAAAGATGGTCAAGCAGAAGAAATAACATCTTAAGCTCTGGAAATGCAAAAAGCATCTCATTTGCTGCGAGTCCTGCAGTTTACCATCTGACTTACATGGTGGCCGGAGGAAGCTCCCTTTCCCTTTGCTTTGCCCTTTCCTCCGGCCGCTGTCGCACTGTTGCGGCGTGCCTGCTCGTGGTCGAACTCCAAATCCTCGAGGCGCTGAGTTAAAGCCAGTTTCTGCTGAATAGCCATCCGTAACAGTGAGTTCAGCGTCTTCTTCTCGTCCTCGGCTGCAGCCAGCTGCCTCTGCATGTCATCCAGCTGGGTCACGTACTCGTCGCATCTGAGAGAGAAGCAGAAGAAGAGGTTTAGAACGACGTAGGAGAGGGGAGGGGAGAAAAAAAGAAGATGGCATGGATGCACATTTCTGCCACTAGGGGGAGTAACGTGGCTGAAGTGGTTATTTTATTCCCAAGACAACTTTTCCAGATGGAAGGATGGATTTCCTGCAAGCTGAGTCAGTATTACATCAGACTGCTCCCACAATGCTTTGTGTCTTCATAGATAGAAAGACAAAATAATTATAAAGGAAAAGCAACATCAGGAAATGCAGAGGTGCTAAATAAGAACTACTATGTCATCTGGAGCTGCTTTTAAAATTAAAATGATGACAATATGCATGCGTGCTGTTGGCAAGTCTCATGATTTTCCTTCATGTTTGGGTTGAACAGGGAAAGTTACCGGTGCCACTTAACAAATCAGAATATCTAAAAGCTTATTCATTTATAAAAAGGAAACTTTAGAGAATGAATTTTGATCATTCTGGTGCCTCCCACACTCCAAATAAAAAGCAAAATTTACTTGAATCTAAAAAAGCAACAGTCTTTCTTTTTCTCTTCAGTGCAAGTCAAACTTAACATAACATTTTTGTTCAGGAGTGGATTAAAACAACGATAGCTCATGTCCCGCTTTGATTCACAATCATCTCAAAGGTTCAGTTATTCCTGTTCCTTGTGCACCTTTTGCCACCCCAGTTTTTTCTTCCACTCAATTTCACATTAATGTACATGTATAGCGCTCTCAGAACACCATGTTTATTTTTTTTGCCAAATCTTATTGTGGCCAACTTTCTTTCCTCAGTCAGAAGTCTACCCCAAAACTGTGAAGGACAGAAGACGCCTCTCATTTTTCATTAATCTTTTTAAAATTCAAATTTCCTTAGAAAGTGAATTTGGGGTTTTCATGCACGCAAAGCCTACAATTATTAACCTTAGCAGACCTACAGAAAATTGTTGCCAAATACTACTGAGTGTAATAAATCAATATCAGAGTTTCACTTTTGCAATAATTTAGTGACGTATTAACTAATTATCTTTTCAATTATATTACCATCTGTCTGAGGTATGCTATGGTCAAAAGTAATAGTTTGTCCAGTTTGTTTTAATATGTTTATACTCTCTTCTGCTAAGAAGTTGTAAGGATCTTATACGACTGCCTTCGTGTTGCTCAGAGTCACATTTTACCTTGTAGCAAACATGGCCCGAAGAGAGGAGAACGTAGCTGCGTCCTCCTTTAGAGCCTTGAGTTCATTCCGGAGTTTCATCATCGTCTCGGTAACCATGGCCTTCTCACTGTCGTATTTGCTCTTGAGGTTGGCCAGGGCGACTTCTGCTGTCTA